ACCTTTCCAGTACTTACATAGTAATACTTCAATGTGGATTTAATTTGTATTCCCCTAATGATTAGTCATGTTGAGTAGCATTTCATGTGCTCAGCTGTATAACCTTCTTTGGTGAACTGTTTAAGTGATTTTCACATTTTTAATAGCACTGAATTAAAACATTATTAAGCTACTCTAATAATTATTGAATTATGAGTCCTATAGATCTTCTATGAAGAAGAAAATTGCTTCATAAATATTCATTTTATGACTGTTTTTTTGCATTTACTTAAGGGTATTTTAATCTTGAACAAGTATTTAAATTCTTCCACTAAATTATTATGTTGCCTCTGTAAGCATTCCTTTATTTTAATGTGTAGTGGCCTACATTGTAACTTTATTTTGTTCTATTACTCATAAAATGCCAAAACCAGACTGCACTGATTGGTATAACTGTCAGTCGGTGAAAGTCCTCTAACTTTGCTCTCTTTAAAGAAAAGTTACTCTACAAAGTAATCTGTTGGGATTGCCATTGGGGTTATGTGTATTAGACAGATCCATCTGGGAGGAGCTGAAATCTAAACACTGATTCTGATGTATGACCAACGACTATTTCTTCATTCATGTCATCTTTATGTTCACTCAGTCATGTTTTGTTGTTTTAAGTACAGAAACCGAGGGGAAGTGGTAAAGGTGAGCATATCGACAGTATTTTTTATGCTAGTGGGAGAAGGCATTTAATGTTTAACCATTAAGCATGGCAATAGATTGTTTTATTTAGAATCTATTCATAACATGTGGAAACATATCTCAGGCTTGCTTTCTGGCTTTTGTATGCGAGATCAGAGGTGCATTTAATTTGGGGCTGTGTTGTTTTATATTTGAGATTCCTTCATTTAGTTTGTCTGTCTTCTTTCATATTTCTCTAGTTCTAGTCCTCTGCCTTAAGTGGTCTCACCAATTCATTAGGTTTAATTTTTACTTCTATGGCATTGAACAAAAATGTTGCTAAAATTTCACAAATGTTTTCATTGTTTTTTCCTTTAGGTCTCACCAGCCTCGTGAACAGCCCAGTCCCAAAGCCACTCCTACATTTTCCTTATAGCTGTAGTTAGAACCAGATACCCACATTAAGTTGTATTTATTGATACTGACTACCTCCAAATGCATAAACATTGTTTTTTTTTCATGTAGCTTCTATCTCATTTGATAGTTCAGAGGAGGTTCAATGGACAGTTTAGGCTTGGTGATTCTTATGAAGGTCTATCCAATGTTACCTGGGATTGTACTCTAAATACATGACTAAAGGTGAAGGGCTCTTTCTCAGGTGCTTCCTCCATCTGTCTGGTGAGTTGGTGCTGGTTGTTAGTTAAACCAGATTCTGATTTCTTCTGGGAATTACATTCAATCTCCAGAAGTTGTTTGAAAGGCTTTTCTGCAAGGCAGCTTCAACAGTACAGAAATCCATCAAAGACCAACTTATGAAAACAACAGTGCCTTTTATAACTTAGACGTAAAAGTCCTAAATCATTACTTCCTTCATTTTAGTCATTATCCAGCCTCAATAGGAATCCATATGGTAAGGGGCTCAAAAAAAAGTGAATACTAGGATGGTAGAGCAGATTAGACAAGTGATATGTGAAAATCATACTTAGATGATAGAAAATGGGAGTTTAGATAACATAAGTAGCATAATATGAACACTCATTGATTTATGAACTGAGTCTTGCTTGGGAAGGAATAACTGGCCCCATGGATACTTATATGACACAGGAAAACCACTGAAGTAAATCCTGTAATGAGTATGAATGTCCGAGACACAGGAACGGCAATATCCAAGCGCAGGAGAAGATGAATGTGCCAGCTCAGAGGACTTGAAGTCACTCTTATTTTGACTCATGTTTTATTTGGGCTTTGTGCATAGCCACACTGATGAGAGTGATCATTTCTAAGTCAACTGATTCAAGTGCTAATCTCTTCCAAACACCTTCATAGGCACACCTAGATCATGTTTGCCAGTGACCTAGACATATCTTAGCATGACCAAGTTGACATAAAATTAACTATAACAGTACACAAACTTCAGGTATAAGTTAGGTCTTGTTTTGAAACTATTGGCATGTACTTGCAAAACATCACTTAACCTTGATAGATACATTCCATAGCTTTCACCATAGATCAGGGTCATAGTGCAGACAAAATGGAGCTGGGTGCTTGGCTGACCCTGATCAGCTTTTAGACTAATACAAGCTTGACAATATATACACATTGTATAGTGCATTATCTGCTCTCCTTTTTTCATGTTAGCTTAATATTTAGTACAACTCATTATGTGACTTGATTTACATCCAGACACAGGCTCAGATCTCCTATACATTCCCAAGAAATAATTAAAAATTCCAAAGTTCAGTACTTAGAAAACATCACAACTCTAGCTCCAAATCTTTCCCCTTCATGGTGCTACAGTGAGGAGTACAACATATTCCTTTTAGGTCTGTTCTAGTAATAGCAAATTTTAGCAGTTAGAAAAATTCAAACTGAACTTAGAATACCTTTTTGATAATTTCCCTACATGAAAATACATTTAATAGCCACTAAATGTATTATTTAAGTTCTCTAATGATAAGGAATAGAGCCATACATATCTAAAATCTCCAGCTTAAGGTAGTTCATTAAAAATGCAGGCCTAGTTTTTAAACCTTGTTTTGTTGTGTTAGTACTTTATAAAGAACTACTATAGAAAATCTATTTTAAGAATTCAAATGTTATTTTTAGAAGGTTAAAATTTAGAAAAGACTTCCTTTTCACAGTAGGTTAAGATGCTGAATTGCATAATTTCAAAAAATTAAAATCCCAGGTTAAATGGTTTGGCAAGAGCAAAGGAAGGTTTTTTTTAATTTTTTTTTTTTGCCAGTCATGGGGCTTGAACTCTGGGCCTGCGCGCTGTCCCTCAGCTCTTCAGCTCAAGGCTAGCACTCTACCACTTGAGCCACAGCACTACCACTTGAGCCACAGCACCACTTCTGGCTTTTTTCTGCTTATGTGGTGCTGAGGAATCGAACCCAGGGCCTCATGCATGCAAGGCAAGCACTCTATCACTGAGCCACCTTCCCAGCCCCGCAAAGAAAGATTTTAAAAAGTCCCCTGTGCATATCAAAAATTTAGCTTAAGTGAGTGGGAAAATAAGACATATGTCTTTTCTAAAGATAAAGCCAAAAAACCCTGTATCATCAAGGTCAAAAGCTGTATGCATGATGAGTGCTGTCAATGGGGTCACTAGGTGAAGCAGAGGCAACTTCATGAAAACATTGCAATATGTTCTTCAAGACAGGTTCATTTTAAATAAAAGTATTGTAAACAGAAGAAAAATGGCAGAGAAAGACTCAAAAACAGTAATATACAAGGCATGTCTGAAGGATGATGTGTCCAGTTACTATACCACAGCATGTACACAGTGGTAAAAGATGTCAACACCATGCTTCTGAAGCCTTCTGTTCAGAATGAGCAATAGTGAAAATTCCTAAAGAGGAGATGGATATGGCAGATGGAGAATTATTATTTCTATGCCTCTAGTAGTAGTGGATTTTTTTTAACTAGAGACAAAAAGGGCCAATTCCCTTTAACACAATGACCCTTTGTATTTCTGAAAATTGCCATAATGTTTCTCTATTAAGGATAATAATACAAAAAGTGAGAAAGAAGAAAGGTGAAACCAGTTAAGAAGCCATTTTAAAAAATTTTTACGTCTTGAAATAAAGCAAATTTATGTGATCCACAGTAAGAAGAAAAAGGAATAGCTATAGTTCAATATTATTACAAAGTATTTTCCAACTGAGAAATGTTCTTACAGGTTGAATGTGTATTTTACTTATCTCATTTTCCAAGTCCTGACAAGACTTGCAGATGGTCTCAAGAACAATTGGAGATTTTCAGAAAGACAATGTTTATTAAGGAGCCCACCTATCACATGCTTTATTGTACACTTTTCCATTTTTTTTTTTTTGGGGTCCGGTCATAGGGCCTGAACTCTGGGCCTGGGTGCTGTCCCTCAGCTCTTCAGCTCAAGGCTAGCGCTCTACCACTTGAGCCACAGCGCCACTTCCGGCTTTTTTCTTTTTGCTTCTGGTGCTGAGGAATCGAACCCAGGGCCTTGAGCATGCAAGGCAAGCGCTCTACCACTGAGCCACCTTCCCAGCCCCAACACTTTTCCATTTTTTAACCTATATTTCTTGTTACTGTAAGTATGCTAGAATCATCAATAAACTGCCTATATATAAAAGTTGTTTATGTTCTATTCCTCAAAAAGCCCTTCCAGCATGGAGCACTGCTTTCCTACCGAACAAGTCTCAAACTCAAACTCATGGCCCAACAGCATGCTGCATGCTAAATGAACTCAAGTAATGCCCACTCTATGTCAATGTTAACTCATTAATATTTTCTGAATATTTGGCAACTTCATATTGACGATGAAAACATTAAACCCTCTTTCAAAATTACGAATGCTAAACAATATCTCCTTAATGAGTTCCTTCAGGGGGTCTTGGTAACATATAAGATAAAGTAACGCTTTAAAAAAATTAACTTTTAACTCAAGAAAACTAATTCAGATATTGACCATCGTTGGTGCTAGACTGCTTGCTCATTCATTTTTCTACAGCATAACTTTAGGGACTGATTTATAGCCTATTAAGTTGGAAAAGGTTTTCATCAAAGACGGATCCTGGATGATTTTTTAAAAATAATTATGTAGATTCAAAGAATTACATTTGGTCTCAAATAATCCAGCCTACTTGTCATAATACATGGCACTGAATATAAAATACACATAATCATTTCAAATTCAATTTATCACATAAAGGGTTTTGTTAAAATGATTGGAGATCTAAGGTAGTATTTGTTTAGAACATTCTAGAAATTCTATCTTTCTGGCAATGTTAGTGATAAGGCTCATGTTAATGAATTTTAGTATTCAAAGAAAAATTTTCATTGTAATTACATATATTTCAGCTAAATATATTTACCTGACAATGCCTTTGGTGTTTCGGAGAACTGTTGCGGCAAAATTCTGTGTAACACCCACCAAACTGATTCCATCCACTTCCACAATCTGGTCGTTGACTTGTATTCTTTGGGAAGAGGAAATCAAATCATTTATCTGATTATACAATACCATTCCCAATAAAGGAATTAAAATATGAATCTTTACTGGTCCCAAATTTATCTTTTATATACAATAAGTCCAGGATTTTAGTCACATGTTTGATATCTTTAAGAACATATTTTACAAGAATAAATAATGCTGAATGGAGGGATTCAATTTACCATGCATCCATATTTATAACACTTTTTGTCCTTGGTTAATCAAAACAGTTTTTTGTTTCTGTTTTAATATCAGAACCTTGTCTGCCTCTTCTTTTTATCCAGTCACATAAAATCTAATTGTAATTATGACATTATGAGATTCGTGATAATTCCAATAGAATTAGAGATTGGGGTATGTAGTGGAAAGAGCCAGTGATTAAACTGAAATAGTGGTCATGAAAACATCATGAAGGTCCATGAAGATGATACCAGGAGGTCTGGTCTTTTCCCTATTTTTTGATGAAAAAGTTTATGCTCAAGAAGAATTCAAGTGTTAACAAAAAGAAACAAATTAGCTGAACAACAGGTCTACCCACAATATAATTCTGAATAAACCAAACCATATATTTACCTGTGCAATAGGAAACAAATGTTTAGCTACAAGGGAGACTGTAATAAAAGAAAATCCTATTGAATCTGTTTATACTAGTAACGATGATGCCAATCATGAGTACCGGAAAGGGTAAGGAAACAAAAGTTATGTATCTCAAGAAGAATTAATATGATATATTGGCCAATTAAACATGGAATGAAAGAGAAGGGGATGGAATCTCCAACCTGTCTCAAAAGAATTTCCCATAGGCAGAGAATGCAGTCAAGAATCCAATATATATCCTACAAAATTAAGAAGAGTGAGAGAACAGTGCGCTGGGGAGGGATGGACGAGTATGTTGAAGGGGGTGGCATGGATCAAGATATATTATGTTCATAAACTGCTTTATTAAATGGCCAGAACCTTTTAAAACTAAAAAATAGATAATTAACACTCATATACTCACACGCAAGCTTTCAAATCTTGGAAGTAAGTAATATTTGAATCATACTTTTCCAAATTTCTACTAACAGGTGAAGGGTTTGCAAGTAAAACTCCTGGCTATGTGCTCTTAAAGATTCTGTTCATTTCTTGAGTTGCTTTACTTAATGTACTAATGGGAGCATTCATTATTCACCTACTATATCAACAGTTGGCTTGATATACCACATAAATGTTCAGGAAATACACAATGTGATATGGATATAAATGGATATAAATAACTACACAGTAGAAGAAATTCATTAAATAGATGAATAGAAAATAATCCTAACATTAATCAACAGCAAGGGAAATCTAATTTGTCTGTGTTTAGTATAACAGGAACTAGCTAAGTACTGAATGTAAAATATTATACTTTTGTATTTTTAATTTGGTTTAGATTTGAGGCAATTCACATAAGAGAAATGTTTCAAAATGATTCATTCTTGTTTGAATACAAAGAATTATTTCTTATTACTTTGGATTGCACTTTAAAATTTTGATCAAAATAAATGACAAATAGTATGGATTTTAGAAACAAATTTAAGTTCATCTGAAAGAACTGTATTAAATTAATAACTGAAAAAACTACTATTATGTAACTCACTGAAGAGGTTGAAAATGTTACTTCCTTATCTACATTTATAAGAAGACAGACAAATTACTTTTAAACACAGTATTTATATTCTACTTTCTATTTTTTTTTTGAGGTTCTGGCCTCATGTGTGCTAGGAAAGCATTCTACCATTTGAGCCTCACTTCCAGCCCTTTTGTTTGTATAGGAAGTGGGGTTTCGTTGCTACCTTAACCCAGGCTGGCTTAGAACTCACTATCTTACTGCCAGCCTTTCTTGTAGCTGAGGTTACAGGTGTGTACCACCACACTCCACCTTAGTTTCTATGTGATGTACATGCAGTAAGTAGAATATGCAATCAAAGGATTCATTCCAGATCTTTTCTGTGCAAAATACTATATTCCATAAACAGGAACACAAAGAAAGCTACTGACTTAAGATGTGGTTCCCAACCATATGGAAAAGAAAATACAGAAGATATAGCTTTCAATCTACATAAATCAATTTAATATCCCTTGAAATATCTTTGTCTATCCACATCTGTTTCCAGAATTACAGAACTTTTCTACGGTTCTCAATATAAGCTCACATCTACTGTCAATATGCTTCATAAATTTCCTGATAGTATGGTTAAGTGAAAAAAGCAAAATTCATTTAAAAGGTGAATCCATTTATGCAATGTTTCTTAAAAAAAAATAAGATAATATTTTTAATTGGCAGACATATTTCAGGGTTCAATTTCATTTAAATTGCCAATCTTCTGCTTCTAATTTTAGCCTGACACGTTAGGAACCTAATAAAGATTTTTATTAATATTTATTCTATAATTATTTATATTAAAAATATGTGGCTCTTGAGATGATGAAGGCCAAAGCATCAAACTGCTGACCTGAAATGCTGTGAAGCAGAATTAACTAAGTAGATGAGTCCATGTAAACTGCCACCCACTACTTATCCACAAGCTTAGGTATCATGAAGGCCTGTGCTTTTATATCAAAAGCTTGGCAAGAAACATGTCTATAATGCTCATCAATGCATAAGCAGAGTTCTTAGTTTCCATTTACTCTATCATTTTCAACAAGGGGAAAACTATGATCGTTTGTTTCACTATTTCTGAAACAAAATTCCATAGTCCACATTCTTCAACTATCCACACATCTATGCCCGTTCATCACTAGACTCATGAACGGACAGCTACAAGTTGACAGAGACAGGTTTACTGTCTCGATTTTCTAATATGTATTAAAGCAGATATTCTATCTACAAATCAGAAAGTAATTCAAGTGTTATCATATTTTCCACATCAGAAAAATGCTCTAAAACTGTGTTTAAAAAAAAAACAAAAGAGGGGGAGACTGAGGGAAAGCAAAAGAAGTGACAGTGTTGAAAAGAAATAGACCCATTACTTGAATTGTGAGATGTTAATCCCTTTATACACACTTTAATAATGGCAATAAAATTATATTATATTTTTAAATCAAAAGATTAAAAAACAGATACCACTAAAAGAACTTGCCAGAAGAATTTCCTAGGACCTTACATCACTTAAGGACTGCAGCTCACATACCTGCCATCCCGCTGGGCAGCACCACCTTCTGTTACTGTCTTGACAAATATTCCCAGTTTCTCAAGTCCAGCATCTGCTCCAACACCCATTCCAATAATGCTTATACCAAGACCATCCTCATCTATGAGAAAGAAAACAAAACAACGTTAATTTTTAAACTTATTCAGCAGCCTTACTTAACTGGTGAGGCTTTTATGCTGCTTCAAATTTGGGCATCTTTCTTATTAGGAAAGATGACGTGATTGCCTAGGCAGAATTGTTTTCTTTTTTTGGGTCTGGTTGTGGGGCCTGAACTCTGGGCCTGGGTGCTGACCCTCAGCTCTTCAGCTCAAGGCTAGCACTCTACCACTTGAGCCACAGCGCCACTTTCGGCTTTTTTCTTTTTGCATATATGGTGCTGAGGAATTGAACCCAGGGCCTCATGCATGCAAGGCAAGCGCTCTACCACTGAGCCACCTTCCCAGCCCGGCAGAATTGTTTTCTAAGCTGGAGAGTAAAGCTATCAAGTAATTCCCCAAAGGGCTATGAGTGTTTACCAGTTTTCTACTGTGATTGGTAATTCACTATGGTCCCAGAAACCACAATAATCTCGTTACTATGTAATCAAGCTGACTTAAAACAGACTCTCATTCTAGACACTAGTAGCTCATGCCTGTAATCTTAGTTACTCAGGAGGCTGAGATCTGAGGATCACATTTGAAGCCAGCCCAGGCAGGAAAAGTCCTTCAGACTCTTACTTTCAATTGACTATCAAAAAGCCAGAAGTGGTAGAGTGCTATCCTTGAGAAAAAAAAAAAAAAATTCTCAGGGGCAGCACCCAGACCCTAAGGTCAAGCACCAGGACCAGCACAAAAAAACAAAAAATAAAAACAAAACCACACAAACACGTGAAACTAATCTTATGAATTCCTTTAGGCATAAACACATACTCAAATACATTCACAGTTTTAAATAAACATGGCTCATACATTTTTTGGAAACGTTTCTTTATTCATGTAGTTATCTTTCTTTCTTCATTTCTCATGTTAATGAGATAGTATTAGGCTGGTATGTAGTTCAGTAGTATAGCACTTGAAATGTCTTAGGTTTGGCCCACAAGCATAGCAACTTAAAAAAAATAAAGTGTATACTTGAGTACTTTCATCTACAAATATACAAATATATGTATTTATAGTTACAATATGTACATATATATGTATAAACATGCATATACATACACTCAAGCACACATTCTCACACGCATATGCACATATTGATTTGGCTTGTTTTTTCTTACAAAGGTGAAATTATACATGCAGCTTGCTTACTTTTTAAAATTCAATGATATATCACCAAATATCAACTTATATAGCTCAAATTCATGTGCAGTGATAACATAAAATTTCATGTTAGATGATATAGCATGTGAGGTCATTTCTCTATGGACAGGAACACACTTCTTCCATTTTGTTGGCAACAACAAAATGAGCCATACTAAAAGTTGTTTTAATACTCAATTAGAAATCATGTTATTTGTCCACATTTTCTTTTGTCCTTTCTATTATATGTGTGTGTATACATAGTTTAACACCAATGAAATCAAGGACATAATATTTTGCATATCACATTCTTTTGTTAACATTCAAGGTTATTTTCTAGTAGCTTCAATGCCTTTGTAATCATGGTTTATCAGCAGGAAAAAAATAAGATACAGGCTAATCAAGAGTGATGGATTTTTAATGGAAAACAAACTCATATGCTCAAGAGACTGCTCGATGTTTTTAAAAGACTTTTCAATCATAACTTTACTAAATATTCATAAATTAGCATGCCTCAGTGGAGGACTGATCTCATTGATTATTACTTGTCAACAACTTTTACCTCTATCTTTGCTCATAAAGAGGTCATTTGGCAAAAAGTGATATGTTGGCTCATCAATATGCTGAAGGAATCTTTATATTGTTATCTGTGAATACGCTGGTGTAAATCTCAGCGAAAGGCACACCTGTATTGATTCTGGGCACAGGAATCTCTCCAGTGTGAAAATTTCAATGCTGCCTAATTTATGAACAGTCATGGGAGACTTTTTGCATTGATTACATTTAGAATGTTTGCCTGTGTGTGGTTTTCTTATGCTTATTTCACTGAACTGTTTCTCTGGCATAAATATTGTGAAGTCCTTCAAGAAACTTTCTTCTGCTAAGAATTTTCTGCACTCATTACAGTTCTGTGATTCCTCAGGAGACTGAGTTTCCTTGTGTACCTGGAGGTTGGATGTGTGTGAGAGGCATTTCCACATGTTATGTGGACAGTTTGTTCTCTCTCATCTGAATTCTCTTGTATGTATCAATGTTAGTTGATGGTAAAATTCTTGTTCATAGTCATCGAGTTGCTCTAGGGTATGATTTGGTTTTTATAGATGATGGGTTAATGATGATTGAGTCTTTCCAGTGTTTACATCCATTTAAGATTTCTCCTATGTCACTCTTGTTTTGTTTCAAAAGCAACCACTGTAAACTCTTTCACAATGAAGAATGCCATGGAGTTTCTGTGTTGTGTGAAATCTCTGAGGTATCAATATTCTGCCTGAATACTCTGTTACAATCACTTTACTTACAGGGTTTCTCTTCATTATGAATGACCACACATCAAACCGACAGTGTACTATGAGCAAAACTTTCCCATATTCATGACATTCTTCGCACATGTGAAATGTCTGTTGTGCTATGCCACTAAATTCCCGCAGCTATCCTGTGTGAAAATTACTTCTTGGTTTTAAAAATCCATTTTCCCTGCCTGGAATTGGGCCTTTTAGAAATGCCTTCCCTTTTCACAGCAACTCTGATTCCCCTAACTAACATACTGCTTGAATCTTCTAAGCTGGAAACCCGGATTGTGGGAAAAGCAACATTAATCAGAGCTCCTCTGAATTCTTGTGCAGACTGCCTACAAGAAGAAAGAACAACTGAATGGTAAAACAAGGAAAAAAACAGTTGCTCTTGACACTTCATCTCTTCTCTGTTCAGAGGAAGATGTGTCATGTACAGTTGACATTCAGAACCACACACATGAAGGTCACTGACTCATGGAAGTCAGTTCAGCCATGGGGCTGAAATGTCAAGAACTGTCTTCCTCTGTACATACAACTAGGGAAGTAGGCCTAGGCAAAAATGGAGAAAACAATGACATTGTATTATCACTGAGGATGCTATTCCCATATTCTGGAGATCAAAGCTTGTTTTCTCTGTCAAAAAAGAAGCCCATGTTGGTTTAACATTACCTTTACCACTAGTAAGTTGAGAAGTATATTCACAGGGGCATGTGCCATTAGATTTTTCTCTCCTGAAAAAAGCCAATTTGTCTTTTGAGTGTTCCTGTCTCTCTTTTCCAGTAATTTGAAAAGGTAATTAGAAAATTATAGATATCAATTTTGTCGTCTGTAACGCATACAATGTGTCACTTATCTATTAATTGTGTTTCACATAATTGCTTTATTAAAAGCACCCTGGTACATGTTTGTAATCCAAGCTCTTGGGGGGACAAAGCAGAAGGTTTACACATTTGAGTCCAGCCCGGACTGCCTGAAAACAGCTTTTTTTTTCTTTTTTAAGCCATTCATATTCACAACTAAATAAGCAGTCTCAGGCTCCAAGAAAGTTTCGATATTGTTTTCAAGGTCAAGGAACAGTTACTATTACTTGTTGTGTTTCTCCTTCTTCATTGCCTGTACTGCTCTGTCCTCACAATTCACAGGATTGTTTTCCTTCATGATTTGTTTTGGGCATTTTCCCTCAAGATTTAGAATTCAATGAGGCTATTTCTTTGATTTGATCTCTTAGGTCACCAATTTGAGGCTCAACAACCATCATTTTCTCTTCAGTTTCCATAGTACGTTTTTTCCAGAAAATCAAGGAAGTTACTGTTGTAACTAATTTGTTTAAAATGCCTTTTTTAAAGTCATACTTGAACATCTGCCCACTAGTAAGGTTTGTTTCTCTTTGGTATTCAAGTTATATCATGGCTGTTCTGTGTTTTTTCCAAAGTCCTTTCAATGTGTTATTTTCTAGTTCATGGAGCCATAATCCAGTCCTGGTACCTATGTCTCACATGGTAAACACTGCAGTCTCTAATTCAGGTGAACAGCTATTCCATGGGGAAAAATCAGGATAAAACCTATCCATTCCCTCTTCTCTTTGCTCCTTTTCAGCTTCCTTGACTCAGTGATGGACAGAAAGTAGCCCTACAAGTTGATCTTCCTGGATCCTACTGCCTTTGATCCCAAACTCCATCATTTTCCTGAAGTATTTCTCATATGAGCCTTAACATGACATCTTTGCCCCACAAACAAAACGAAACAAATCATGGATTGTCCCTAAGCTCTTACCTACATCAGCTTCCTCCCTCACACCCCCCCTATACCACTATCCTTGCTAGCCAGCTAATGGAGCTGGGTTTGAGTCAGGAGTAGAGGACTGAGGACACTTTTCAACCCACCATCAACTCAGAATCCATACTCTGTGCATGTTAAAATGGTATCTAATCCTAGAAGAAAGGTAAAACTTTGAGGAAATAACCCCGGAACGCCAATGGAGCAGTACACATGCACCACAGCACTCATGTACCTTTCTCAAGCTCAACTGGGAAAAGTTCCAGCTTTTCCACACGCTTCTCAAGTTCATATTCAGCAGATGCAGCCACAGGGTCAACTTCTTCATTTCTCCTATCATAGTCTTCATTGGAGTATGTGTTGAAAACCTGTAGTAATAGGCCAAGAACAAAATGAGAATACAAGAAACACTGCCTTCTCTACATAGAAAGGAAAAAAATCTTCTCGGTCACCAAAGCCATGAAACTTTTTAAAAGTCAATAAGATGATTTTCTTTTAAGCAATCATTTTTAAAATAAGTTTTTTTATTGTGAAAATACTGTATAGAGGGGTTACAATCACATGAGCAAGGTAATGAACACATTTCTTATCCAGCATTGTTGCCTCCTCCTTTGTTTTTCCCTACCATCCCTTCCCTCCCATCTCCAAAACTACATTCCCCCTTCCCCACCCCTCCCCCTGGCCTAAATTGTAAAGTTCATTTTTCAACATAGCGTCTTGTACATCTCATTGTTGCAATGGGCCCACCTGTATCCCTATTTAAACAATTTAAACAATCATTTTGTCTTTAAATTTAACTGAGATGTAAGAAAAAGGGAAAAAGTAACTTACTAATCTAAAAAATATGAATCATTTTACTAATTTCAATAATTTAAGATACACCATCACAGAATGCATTATTTGAACAGCATTATTCATCACCATTTAGATAATCAAAATGTAACAGATGAAATGAAATGTTATGTTGTTTCCTGATAAATCAAGGCAAGGCAAATGGAAGCTTCCTAACCAAACGCCACATTGTATCTCCTCTACGGTATCAATTAATTGGGACCAAGGACATAGCATGTCAAAACACATCAATGCTACAATTATGTCTTAATCACAACCATTGGAACTTTCTATTCTATCTTGTCCTGGACTACACTAGACTTTCTATTTTCTCATCTCTCATTGTTCTTGCATATGGATTTAAGTTAAATTTTCAATGAATATTTCTATTAAACAATTATCAAAATATTGTTCAAAAGCTGTAGGACAAATTAGGTTACTGAGAGTTTTCTAACATAAATCATTCAAAAAGATAAGACTAAAACAAATTGTGGCCTTTAGGAAACTTGATTGCCCTTATTTCAGCTGAAATACTTGTTTTATTTGAAATGAAACTAAAGTAGTCACCAAATCATACACACCTGCAATCCCAGATTTTCAAAAGGCAGAGATAGGAGGATTGTAGTTTGAGAACAGCTGATGCAGAAAGTTAGCAAGACTTCATCTCAACAAACAAGCTAAATATGTGGCACACTTCTAGAGCTAGCGACTCAACATCAGAGGTAGGAGGACCATAGTTCAAAGCCCTACATTTTTCCACCATATTGAAAATGATGTAACCAAAATGAACATCTCCATGTAATGGAGTCTATACTTTTAAAAAAATCCTTCAGAATATGCTTCCAATTTCCCTTCCACAGAACTCTCTAATTACACTTCCGACTTTCTCCTAGTACTTTTGATCTTTCACTTATGTTTTCATCACTGTTCAACAAAAATGTATAGAGTACCATCTCTTGTCTGAGATTGAACTGGACACTGGAGAAGGCAAAGTTTCAGGCAGCTCACAGATTAGGAGAGGGATACAGAAATAGAAATTAGCAACTGTGATATAAAACAATAACTAATATAACAGGGATATTCCAAGTAATTTGTTATATTTGCCTGAGAAAAGGAAGAATTTTTTAGAGTGGAGAAAGTTTTAGTGCTATCTCAAAGAAAAGAAAAATTCTAGTATAGAGGAGAAATGTGTTTCAAATATAACATCACACACGATCTCAATACATATACACAAAAATGAGTAAAGAGAAATGTTTTTGAAAAATGGCCAACAATGGAATGGACCACATACCATATTGCTAGGTGAGTGACTTCAATAACACACACACCAAATACGTATGTGGGCCTGGGTCTTACATGTCCTTGAAACTAATGTCAAGTGCAGCTGGAAACAACTTCATTCCTGTCTGTTACTTATCTATCTCTTTCAAAGATTCAAGAACTTGATGGCATGGGTTTGAGTGTCATTAAGGTAGTGCTGGTACATGTTCAAATTCACCTGAACATAGTATGTAAATGAGTGAGAGAGAGATAATGCGAAAGACAGAGAAGGGGGGTGGAAAGAAACAGGGAAAAAGAAGAGAGGGAGGAGGAGAGAAAGAGAATGATGTATGTAAGGGCAAGGTGCTTTAAATAAATAAGCAAATTTTTTAGTATTTTTTTCAGGATAGAAAACACCCTTAACACACATCCTCCCAATTAAGACTCTATAAATCTCATTTTCAGATATTCCAAAATTAATAAAAATTTACACGGTTATATTACATACTAAAACTAATCATTTTTGAGTTATCAGTCAGGTATTTATATAGTCTTATTCTGTACAAGAAAAAAATAACTTGTAAATTACAAGTGCATGCATAAAAAAGTTGAAAAAAACTGGAATTCATTACTTTCATATTAAACTATTATTTACTTGGAACATGCAATAAATTCAACAGAAAAAAATATTAAAACTAATTATTAGCAAAATGATGTTAAAAATTGGCATTGAAAAAGTATGCTTATCTTATAAAAATGTAAAAATAAATGAGAAAATTTAAAACTTAATAAAGTACTGCCTATAAGTATTCAAGAATTTCCTTCTCTAGAAACTTGAAAAAGAACATAACAAGCCCTAAAAAGTGTGAAGCAAAATTACCTTCCAGAATTGAAATCTTTAAGATAGTAAAGACACACAATGCCTTGAATTACTGAAACAATATCTCAACTTATGAGTTCCCATCATAAATTTTAATCCCTACCTATGTTAATGGAAATAAATAAGCTGTTTGAATAAACATAGTGAAGAATGAAATAAACCTATTGTATAACAAAACAAACAATAAACTTCATCAAGTAAAAAACAATAAAGTTTTAGCCCTAGGATAGATTTATTTTTAGATCTTATTTCATTTCATTCGTTATCTGTTCAAATTAATCACTGCAATCCATTTATTAGATTGTATTAAAAAAGTGATATAGCTGAGGATTCCTACTTCGTATCACTAACAAAAATAGAATTCAATGTAAATTTACCTTAAAATATGTGGGTAGGTAGTTCAAGACCTCCACTCTCCATAGATACAAAATCTATAGCTATTCCACTCATTCATACAAAATTGATTAGTGTTTGTATATAACCCACACAACCTTCCCACACACTATAAATCATCTCTGGATAATTATAACACCTAGCACTATTATGAATGCTACATAAGTATTTGTTATATTACATTGTTTAGTTAGCCATGGTAAAGAAAAATATGTCAAAATGTCTATGTTCAGACTTTTTCTCTGAATAGTTTCAATCTGTAGTTAGTTGAATCTATAGACATAGAAACCACAGATATACATGACTGATGATTTATACCATAAAAGTGCTAAGAAGAAAACTGGGACAATGTCCAACTAACAGACTAGAGAGAAATTCACAGATGCTAGAAATCATAAAGGACATGAATAAACTATGTAAGTAAAAATTAATGCTAAGGAGTTGGGGTTATATATCTCAGTGGCAGATCCCTTGCATGGCAAATGTGTTGCCCTGTGTTCAATCCCTAGCACCACATGATCATAAGTAATAAAAGTTTGGGTAGTCGGGCATGACAGTGTACACTGGGAATCCTTACACACTGGAGACTCAGGAGACTGAGATGTGAGAATGATGCTTCAATGCCAGCCAGGACAAGAAAAGTCCATGACAGGTTTTGCTCCAATTAACCAGCAAAAAATTGGAAGTGGTGCTGTGGTTCAAATGGTAGAGTGTTAGCCTTGAGGGGAAAAAAAAGCCAAGCCAAAGTGTAAAGCTCTGAGTTCAAGCCCTAGTACCAGCAGGAGAGAAAGAGAGAGACAGAGACAGAGACAGACAGAGACAGAGACAGAGAGACAGAGACAGAGAGACAGAGACAGAGAGGGACAGAGAGACTGAAAGAAACAAGGAGAGGGAAAGAGAAAAGAATAAAGAAAAGAAAAAGTAAAGAAAAATATCAAGGAAATACAACAAGGCAATACCATGTATTATAAGAAAGGTTTTAAAAAAAAACTTCAATAAAGAGTGTAAAATATAAATAGGACATAAGGAAAAACAAACTTTTAAAAAGTTACCCAAAACTGAGTTTGGGAATGGAGGAGAGGCTGGTTAGAGGGAACACACTTTCTTAGCAGATGTGAGGCTCTAGTTTATATCCCTAATACTGTTGTTTGCAAAATTTCTAATTTGAAATGGCACTCATATTTTATGTGTAAATGCCTGTGGTCAAATGTTACCTATAAATATTTATACAACTATTTGCAAAGGTGTATGTTCAAGGAAGTTCACGATAGAGCCATTTTAACCATCCAAAGTGGGAAATCATCCACCGACAGTGAAAATCATGCTAACTCATGAAATACAGAAATAAGTAAATCTGCAGGGGCTGAGGAAATGCATATCTCTCATGATATGAAAGGCTCTGTGCCACACACATCAGTAACCCAGAAGGGCACAGTACAGACACAGTTTCATCAGACACAGTACATCAGTTTCTATGACTCCCCACTAACTACTCTAGTTGAAAGCCTTCTAAATTCCCTACTTATATAGCTTTTAACAAGTCACAGAATCAGGCTTAGACTCTCTTTCTTTATTCACAAAGTAGCTGTTACAAAAATACTTGCCCCATGAGATTACTGTAAAAGCAAAATAAGGTAATCCATGTAATCATGTTTGGTTCAATAAGGGGATGATAAGAAAAATAATAATTCCCTGGATACTTCCATAGCTTATACTGTCATCCACAACAAGCAGATTTTGAATGTTTCATCCACTATAATCCTTAATGCCACTTAAGGAAAATATAAATAAATAAATAAATAATGTAGGAGTGCAGCCTGTCAAAATCCTATGTGCAGGTCCATGTACAATTGATGCACACTGGTTTAACTGGACCAGGAAGATTCTCAAAATGGAAAAGAAGCTTGCTCTACATAAAGGTCTTCCCTTTCATCTATACTGATTTGATTCTCTCACCTTCCTTATAATAGTACTACTATTTATACTTCTATTACCTTAACTGCT